TCTATCATATAGAAGAAAGACAATAATTTGTAAACTATTGCGAATTTTGCAGTTTTTTCGACGACAATTGACTTCTAGGAACATGTTACAAATGTATAATTTAAAACATTATTTATTCTACTTTCATAGATGTACTTTAGCTAAAATTAGAAGATAAAAAAACATTTTTTTGATAAATTTTTTGCTCCAACTTCTTTAGTTTTGCCGTAATCGGCGATTAAAAATTGAAATATCGAGATATATCGAAGTGCCATTTATAAATTCTTTACTCTGATTGCGATGGTGAAAGGAACGAAGAGAACTTAAGAAGAAAGGAATTTAAGAATATTTTAAACAACCATTTGAGATAATTTGTTTTTTATCGATTTAGCTGAAACAAAAGCATTCTAAAAGTCGAAATTGAGTTAGGATCATTTGGTTCTACTAAATTGTGGTTGTAATGAAGTAGGAAAGCGAATTGAGCCTCCGGGGATGAGTTAAAAACAATGCTTCGCATGTCGGACCTTACACCTTTGCTACCATCGGTCTTTCCAAATGTTACAGTTTCAGTATAGCCGTGAAAGAGACTTATTATTTCAATTTATTCATTGCGTTTAAAGCTCTTTTAATCTCACATTTTTATACACTACTCCAAAAAATTAAAGGAACAAAAATTTTTGCAAAATTTTTTGATGATTTTTGAAATCGAAAAATGATGGTGTCTAGGTTTAAAAAAACATTTTGAAACTTTATGTTTCTAGTTTTGAGATCTTCTGGCAAAATTTTTTTCTGTGCTACGGCTAGCACGCAATCCTAAGTAATAGCGCGAGAAAAAAAAAACAATTTTTTTTTGTTTTTGGTCCACGTGGTCCACGGACGTGGGGATTTTTTTTTACTTGAGTCAATGTATAGGCCGGATAGCATGTTTATTCACCTTTAATATGCTTTTTTCATATTCTTTTTACGTCAATTTGTCTGAGATATCTGACTTTAAGTGTCAAAAATTGGTCAAAAAATTGTCCCAAAATCAAGAAATGGAAATTTGTTGTTGTGAAGAGTACAGACAAGTCTTCACGAATTTCAATTTTTTCACAATGGGTACTTTGCACCACCTAGAACCACGTGAAGAAACCCCACAAAATGGTACCATCAAATGGGTGAAAAACAAAGGATCGTATGATGACCCACGATGTACTAAACCCGTTTTAATCCGGAGAAATGCTCCTGAAGTGTCAAAAACTACGACAGATTTGGAAACAAAATGGATTCCGGTACTACCAGGTCTAATTTCGCAGAAAATTGTCAACCAGATTAATACCATGAAGGGTCTTTTGGTGTAGTTTTGTAAAAAAAAAAGAAATGAAAAGTGCAGAAATGTGTAGAAACGTGTAAATGAAAAAGGATCCTTTTGTTTTTGATCATCGATATCTCAGCGACCAATGACCACACAGAGAATATAAAGGTAGTGTCAAAAACTGGAATAAATGAAAAAAAGTGAATTTTTTTTTCCACCTTCAACATTGATTTAAAAAGAGAAAAGACCTTGTTTTAGTAAATCTACCACGTATTCACTAATATTGAAGGGGAGACCAATGTTTTTAGCTTAATGTATCCACCATAGTCTTGTTAATTCTAAAATCGATACATTCAACCGCTTTCTTGGACCAAAGAATTAAAGGAACAATTGTACATATTGTTTCTGAGCATTGTCTAATCTTCGTCAAAATGAGAAAAACAGTTTTTTTTCAGTTTTTTACAATTTTGCATGAGTTTTTAGCTAAATTTGAAAAAAAATCGAATTTTTTTTAAATTAATTAGTATTAGTAATCAAAAACATTTTTGCAACCGTAGCACAGAAAAAATTTCTGCCAAAAAATCTCAAAACTAGAGAAAGAAAGCTTCAAAATGGTTTTTAAAATTCAGATACGACCATTTTTCGATGAGTTACAGCCTTTCAAAAATCACCAAAATACTTTTGAAAAGTTTTGTAATTGTAATTTTTTGAATTTATATGAGAACTTACTTCGAATGTAACGAAAAACTTCGAAACGTAGATTGATTTTCATGTCTTTGTGTTATTTCTGGGATGATTGTGATGAGCGAGGTAAGGACCGCAATTTGTTGAAATTTTATACAGCTTTCCGAGTTTAATTAGAGCAAATGCCTGATAGTTGTTGAATCGGTTAATTTGGGTATTGTCGAGTAGGGAACGTGTCAGTACCCATCTTATGGAAGTCAAACCGCAGAAACGGATGTTGAAAATGTCGCTTTAGACTTGCTCAAATCGTATATCATATAAATGTGGACAGATCGCTCTTGTATGGAAATCACCCGGAAACGAATCGCTGCTTATAGATGCATGAAAATTTAGCGCTATAGAGACAGCTCCGTAAGAAATTCTGTGGAAGATTGATGTTGCATCCGGAAATAATCTCTTGGCAATTGTTTCCTGCTAAAGGTTTGCAAGAGCACGAAGAAATGTATGATTCTGTGAGCCACACAAGTTTTTTAAAGAATTTACACGTAAATAAAGTTGGTTGGAGTTGAGTGATGATGTTTACTCATTTTGGTATGCAATTATGGGGACGTTTGATCAAATAATTGCGTTTTAATTTTTCGCTTTAGAAATTTAGGTCACGAAATTCTTAATTAAGACTCGGTAGATTGGGTTAATATCGTTGTCTTTATAGTCACAATCAATAATGAATTAGAAGTCTTGAGATCAGTTAAAAGCTAACTTACACAGTAATCGAATTTGCCTGCAGACAAAAGCTTTCAATCCACTGTAAGTTTTGCATTAACGCGAAGAAATAATTATTTACGAGACTTGGTCAAAAACATGTTTTTCGAATTTGATTTGAATCAATTTACTAGTTGACAAAGTCAAATTGATTTCCTCTTGATTAATCTTTATGTGTTGTGGTTAATCGAGTGGTAAAGTTTGAAAACTTTCGATGGATCGATTTTAAAATTAATAGGGCTATGGTGGATACATTAAGCTGTAAAAACACCTAAAAACATTAGTCTCCCCATCAATATTAATGAATACGCGGTAGATTTACTAAAACAAGGCAAAAAGTACTCTTTTCCCTTTCTAAATCAATGTTGAAGGTAAAAAAAAAACATTTTTTCACTTTTTTCATTTATTACAGTTTTTGACACTACCTTTATATTCTCTGCGTGGTCATTGGTCGCTGAAATATCGATGATCAAAAACAAAAGGATCCTTTTTCATTTACACGTTTCTACACATTTCTGCACTTTTCTTTTCTTTTTGTTACAAAATTACTCCAAAAGAGCTTTCATGGTATTATTCTGGTTGACAATTTTCTGACCTGGTAGTACCGGAATCCATTTTGCTTCCAAATCTGTCTTAGTTTTTGACCCTTCAGGAGCATTTCTCCGGATTAAAACGGGTTTAGTACATCGTGGGTCATCATACGATGCTTTGTTTTTCACCCATTTGATGGTACCATTTTCTGGGATTTTTTCACGTGGTTCTAGGTGGTACAAAGTACCCATTGTGAAAAATTTGAAATTCGCGACGACTTGTCTGTACTCTTCACAAAGACAAATTTTCATTTCTTGATTGTGGGACAATTTTTTGACCAATTTTTGACATTTAAAGTCAGATATCTCAGCGACAAATTGACGTAAAGAGAATATGAAAAAAGCATATTAAAGGTGAATAAACATGCTATCCGGCCTATGCATTGACTTAAGTAAAAAAAATTCCCCACGGCCGTGGACCACGTGGACCAAAAACAAAAAAAAATGTTTTTTTTTCTCGCGCTATTACTTAGGATTGCGTGCTAGCCGTAGCACAGAAATTTTGCCAGAAGATCTCAAAACTAGAAACATAAAGCTTCAAAATGTTTTTTTAAACCTAGATACAATCATTTTTCGATTTCAAAAATCATCAAATTAGGAAAAATTTTTGTTTCTTTAATTTTTTGGAGTAGTGTATAAAAATGTGAGACTAAAGGGGCTTTAAACGTAATGAATAAATTGAAGTAATAAGTTTCTTTCTTGGTCAAAAACATGTTTTTCGAATTTGATTCGAATCAATTTACTAGTTGACGAGTCAAATTGATTTTCTCCTCTTGATTAATCTTTATGTGTTATGGTAAATTGAGTGGTAAGTGCTTGAAAACTTTGGAATAACCCGGCGCATCCACCATTTTTTACAAATGTGGTGGATGCGCCGGGATATTTCACTTATTAATAGTGATTTTCCTCTTATTTCTCTCAATGTTGTAGTTTATCAGGAAATGGTTAAATTTACGGTCAGTGTACATTTCCAACGAAACACTATCAAATGTAATGGAGTAAAAAGCTGTTGCAGACGTCATTTAGCCGACTCTATATTAAGATTAATGTTTGTCCGAGAAGGAGAAAAGTTGCGATTTGGAAAAATCGCTTCACTGATTTAGCTCATTTGTAATTTGTACTTCCGACGTATTTTTTTTCGTGTATGTGTTTTTCGTGCAGAAATTTACGATTTGAGTTCATCGAAGATAACACTAATAAAAGTGATTTAGTGCGTCATTTAATTGTACCCTAGTTTCAAAGAGATAATAATAATTAAACGGGTTGTATGATGTTATGTTATTGACATTTCTGTTGAATTCGAATACAACTAATCCGGCATTATACACCTACTAACGAAATTAAACATTAAAGCTGTTGTTTTTTGTGTGTTTACTTTTATTTCGACTTCCTACACAGCAACAGCAATTAATCAAAACCTATTTTAATCAAGTTGGATCGGACATGAGATTTGTTGGGAAGTTTGAAAAGGTGTACTGCATCGCCATTGATCCAGGTTCGTTTATATTGTGATGATTTTGAGAGCTAGGGAGCTGCAATAAAGGAAAATCGATGAAATACTTTAATAATTAAATTTCAGAAGTTTACGAGAAATTTCTCTATTAATCCCCAATCATTAAAAGAATATCGACGGAAAATAGCAATTTTAACCGAGGGCTGTTTGCCGTAATTTCAATTATTATTTGTTCCAGCATGTCGAGGTCCCGTATCAGAGAAGCTCGTCTTCATGGGGGTCCAAGTTTGGGGCAACTCTTGACGGCACGTCCCTCGGGACTTACCGAGCCCGAGTGTTGGGCTATCTTGTGTCAAGCCGTTCAAGCACTGCAAGATTTATTCTTATCTGGTAAGTTCACATTTTTGCTTTTACTGTAAATTTACGGACAGTTTTGGGAAATTATAAATCGAATATGGATATGACCAGAGTTGGATTCAGGTCCACTTTGTTTAAATAGGGTTGGGAAAGTAGGGCGCATTTGCATAGAGAGAAGTTGAGGTGTTAAATCAGATTAGAAAAATTAATAGTATATTAAACAAGTCGAGGGTAATATTTACAGGGTCAAAATCGGATGGAATTAAGGACAAGTTAGGTAAGGGATCGAGCTAATAAACCTAGGCAACCTATTTTTTCTCTTATTTTTATGCTTTCTTTAATAAAATTATTGTTTTGTTTCAACTGTCAAAAGAGGAGAGAATTATATTATGCAAAAGTGGGAGAAAATATTAACTATTATTTGCGAGTCAGATAGTGTGAGTTTTTCACGGGGGAGAACGGCTATGCCGCGAGCCCCTTATAATTTTTACAAAACATTTTTGAATTCGATAAATTTAAGTCATATTTGGTGCTTTCTATACCTTCCTATTATCGATTGTAGAAGTTATCATTCCTATTGTTAAATATTTCAACCCTAGCCGCTAGCCAATTTAGAACGCTTTGTGTTTTCTCCATAAAGTGGATACATATCTGTTGTTAGTTCTGCATCTGTAAACTTTACCAATATTAGCTCGTACAATATTCACAATAAAAGCAACTCTAATGTCAGATATGTTCAAGTCTCTATTAAGTCAGGTGATTTTTTTTTTCGTAAAATGAAAATGAATATATTTATTACATTCTATAATACATTGCTGTCTTTAATATTTATATTTTTTTATGTTAAATGTTGAATGAAGTGGAATAAACTCGTAGACACTTTGCATTGAAAATACTTTGTCTACTTATTTGATGTGTGTAAATCAATACAATCCATAAATTTAATATAAATGTAAATGCGCTAACGATTGACATATGACATGTCTCTAATACATTAATTTCACAAACGGCTCAAGGGCAAAAAATGTGAAGAATTGAAGAATGTTGTACTTTATTTCAACTAAATAGTTATTTGCATTACAAGGGAGGATCCTTTTCTCCCACTGGTGGAAGTTGCCACTCTTTCCTCTAGTGTAATACATGGAATTTTCCCTACGACCCATCAAGAAAAACCTCAAAACTAACAATTTCTCTTGATATTCTAGCAACAAGTTTTTCAATTTCTATAGGAGAGCTGGATAAAGAGAATTTTTACTTTCCTGAGAAGTTAATACCAGGTGAATAAAAAGTATGGAACCAAAGGTTTTTTGCTTAAACTATTTATTTTTTGAAAAAACTAATTGATGAGTCATAAAGTACTATAAAAATATGATGATTTAAAAAGAATAAAATTTTTCGAAATTTCCTTTTGTTTTTGAGTTCTACAAAAAAAAAATATTTTTTTAAATGGCAACCCACTATAAAATCATTTTTCTCATAAAAGCTATACTCTAAGGATTACAACTATCTGCTTTATTTTTAATTTTTTCAAAAAAAATTTTTCACATAAATTGCAATTTTGACAAAAAAAATCGCATAACTCAAAAACAAAACAAAATTTCGTCCTGAAAATACGATCACATTTTTATATTACTTTAATTTCTATTAATTATTATTTTCTGGAGGCAAACAATTAAAAATAAAACCGCTTGGTTCCAACTTTATATTCACCCTGTATATATTTTTATTGTAATTTGGACTGGTGAGGGAAGTAAAATGTTTACTACTACTAGGTCTACTATTTTAACCTTCGTAATCTTACATGAATATTTCCCTACCACGGGATGTAAAAACAAATTTCCCGACCTCCAAAAGGTTAGAAATCGTGATATTGCTATAGTGATTGTGAATAAAAAAATTTACTCCTCTATCCCACAGAATATTTAACTCTGCGGAGCCCAAAATTTTTGTTGAAAACTGAATTGAACTGAAAGTGAATTTTGATAAATTTTAATACTAACTTTGGTTTTTAATCGATATATGAGCAACATTTTTTTTTAAAGTACTACCCTATTATCCTATTTTTACATTTTTCGGAAAACTATTTTCATTGAAAATATTGAGCGCAATTCGGGAGCCACCTCCGCAACTTGGGCGTTTAAGTTTCGGCTTTAATAACAAAAAGCCGCGTCAAACTCGAATCCTTGTCAATTTCCAACTGTTTGTAATACCTAAATTGTGTGATGAATCATGATTTCATGAATTTAAATGAGAGCTTCAAGTGCGCACTGTTCTATAAATATTTATTTTCGTTCAAAGCTCGCGAAGGACATGCTACACTAGAGCTTAATATCGAGAAAATCTCCGGATAGACGAAGAAAAGTTATTTTTCCGGTGGTTAAATCACATCATTTACTATAGCGAAAGTAAGTCCTATAAACATCTGGCACAGATCTCGCCGATAGGAAGGAACTGAATGAGAAAATATTCGCAGCTCCTGATAGCCGACAACAAATGTAACCACTTAGAGGTGTTGCACTTTAGCACCCTCTTTATCTCTTTGGCCTATTTTGCATTACAAAAAACGAGGAGAATTTCATAAAAATACGACTTGCGATGTTACAATCTTCATGTCAAAATAACTAATGATTGGTCTCAAAGCATATGTTGCATTTTCCGTTGCAAGGTACTTGAAATTCACAGTGGAAACCTTATCCTGAAAATATATTACATAAACTTAACTAAACGTCAGCTGGGATTTACTCTGTCAGTTCGGGTGCATATCTAAGGGTTCTGGAATCATGTTAAGAGACAATTTTCAATTCGAGTGTCTCCTTTGAGCAGAATTCCTAAGCATATGAGATTATTCCTGTAAAACTTCAACCTCTCATCTGAAAACAATGTCTGAAATATTATCGGCCGCAAAAATTACAACACCGAATTCATTACACAAATTCCTGATAAACGAAAATTAAATTCCTCAAATATTTACGAACTTGTCACGCGAAAACCCAATACTCTTTCTTTTCGAAAATTGAGTGCTAATACCTGGAAAATATTCTGATTTTTGCAGAAAGCTCGATTTTAGCCTCATCCATCAACATCTCGGTTGACTTTCTTACCGAAGGTCACAACAAATTGTTTTCTCGTGTTATTTGTGGCTGAAGGCTGTGTTCGCAGATCCAGACTGGATAAATTTCAGGAGCCCTGCCATTCATCAGTTAGTGAATAGTAAATGAACAGTGCTACGTTAGGAATCCTTGAGCCAGTCTATTTTGGATAAGAAAAGATAACGAGAATACATTACACAAGGCGACAAAAAAAAGTCATGTCGTGAGAACTTGACAAATTTTATATCATTTTCTTCGTCTCAGTAAAACAAATCAAATGCACTAAAAATAATTTCAAAAAGTCCACACACTTTGAACAAAATTTTTTTTTTTCTAATTTAAATGAATTTAAAATACTTTAATTTTAAAAAATCATTTCTCAATAACTATTAGGCCGATTTCCTTCAAATAAAGACCATTCTAAAGGGATGGAATTGCCCTTTAGAATGATATGCAATTTGAAATTGAATATTGGCAAACTTTTTTTCGAACAGTGTTCGAAGTAAATCGAAGTAATCTAAAAAAAACCCTACGAGTAATTTTTTTTCTTCGTCACCATCGTGTAGAGCATCTTTTTATTAGTGAGAATCCAAATTTTTAAAATAATATACCGAGTAGTTTTCAAGATATGATTTTTTGAAGTTAAAGTTTGCTATTCTGATATTGCGCCATATAGGAAAAATGCATGTTAATCTTACTTAAAATTGCATTTTTATAAAAGTATTTGTTTTAAGACTCTTCTTTTGCTTAAAAATGGTCAAGTGCACCTTCTTTGTTCTAATTACAATAAACAAAAACTGTTTCTTTACTTAAAACAAACAAAGAGTACCTGCGTACTAATTAAAGCAAATAAAGAGTTTTTTTGTTCTAAAAATGATCACTGATCATTGAGCTAAAAGGATCTAGAAGTTTAAAGCAGTAGCTTTAAATATAAGAACAAATCTTTTTCAAATTAAATAACTTTCCATTCAGATTCCAACTTCGTCACTTTGTTCTAGCTTTCTGAACTTTTTTTGAAAATGTTTTCAGCAAATGCTTTTTCATTACTTTCTACTGATGTTGAATGCAATAAGTCAGTTGCTTCGTGTGCAACTGTTATCACAACAACTACTACCTACAAGCTAACTGAAGCTAATCGTAGAATGTACCAACAAAATAAATCAGGTGACTTATTGCATTTAACATCACTCGAAAGTGATGAGAAAGCATTTGTTTAGAACATTTTCAAAAAAAGTTCAGAAAGATAGAACAAAGTGAACAAGTCGAAATCTGAATGGAAAGTGATTTGATTTGAAAAAGATTTGCCTTTATATTTAAGACTCGTGCCTTAAACTTCTAGATCCTCTTTGTTCAATGATCAGTACTCATTTTTACAACAAAAAAACTCTTTATATGCTTTAATTAGTACGCAGGTACTCTTTATTTGTTTTAAGTAAACAAACAGTTTTTTAAATTCTAATTCGAACAAAGATGGTGCAATTGACCATTTTTAAGTAAAAGAAAAGTCTTAAAACAAATACTTTTATAAAAATGCAATTTTAAGTAAGATTAACATGCATTTCTCCTATATGGAGCAATGCTTGATTAACTAACCATAACTTCAAAAAATCATATCTTGAAAACTACTCGGTATATTTTTCGGAAAATTTGGATTACAACTAATAAAGAGATGCTCTACACGATGGTAATGATGAAAAAAAAATTACTTGTAGGATTTTTCTGATCGAAGAAAAGTTTGCCAATATTCAATTTCAAATTTTATATCATTCTAAAGGGCAAGGCCATCCCTTGAGAATGGTTTTTATTTGAAGGAAATCGGCCTAATAGTTATTGAGTAATGATTTTTTAAAGTTAAAGTATTTTAAATTTATTTAAATTAGAAAAAAATTACTTTGTTCAAAGTGTGTGGACTTTTTAAAATTTTTTTTAGTGCATTTGATTTGT